ATGACGTGAAAAAAGGCACATACCATTGACATTGCATGACGAACTCTGTATTCCTCGTCCACACGTAAGGAGATTTAAAAAATCTCAGTTTTCGGTGATTCGAAACGCCGTTTACCTGTGGATGAAACAGCTGCGTTTTCAAAAATACCCGTGTATGTGTGGCTATAGCATAAAAGAGTTAGTAGTGGATTTTATTACTACCTGTAATTTATTGCAGTTTACTTGTATTTGCTTAATTATTTACTAAATGTTTGAGGTGTGAAATAAACCGCAATAGAGTTTGGAAACAAAATATGGGTGTGTGTGTGGTCGGAGGATGTGTTTGTGCAGGGGGGCGAACATTTTTCTTGTAAAACAAAGGGGGGCCTAGCAAAAAAAGTTTGGGAACCACTGGTTTAACATATCCTCAACAATTCACCTCAGTCATTGGTCAGAAGTGAGCATATCAGACTCCTTTCACATGGTTTTACAGCATCTTCCAGAACAAATAAAGGTGGACACTTCTCAGCTACATTGACAGCTGAAGTAAACAGCAGCCTTCCACACATAGGGAGAAACTCCAGGGGACATCTGGATCCGGTCCAAACAGTAATAGAAAACCACCAGCCAGCCACAGCTGTTATACAGCAGAATCTAACTTTAATGTTTTGACTGACGATGAAGCAGGTTGTAGGCTCTATACGGAAACACATTATTATCATCTGATTTTTTACACCCAGTTGTTACAGGTCTTTATTGTTTGTTCAGAGTTTTTGTTGAAGTCTAATAATCACTCTCATTTAGTACCGCTGTAGGTCTCAGCTAGGCCCTAGGATGGTATCAGTTGTTTTCTGTTTGCTGCTGAATGGTGAACAGGTGTAGTACAGTGGATTGTAGAAGATTCTTACAAATAGCTGCTGCTGCTGACAATGGCACAATAGTAAGTTTTGGGTCCCTCTTGGACAGCAAAACAGTGACCTCAAATAAACTGTGATGGACCGAGCAGTGAAGAAAAATTAGACACAGGTTGACGTCCAAAAAAATGATTTTTTATTTAACCCAAAAGAACATAATTAGTTAAATCATGACAAAAGAATCAAAATCTTGGGCCCATAAAAGAGGTCAAAATAACAAAACTCTACTCAAAGTACTGATAACTCAAACAAACTGACCTAACTTAACAAGACAAAGGGGAAACTTAAATAGTGGCTGATCAGCCCACAAAAACAGAAAAAAGGGGTAAAATACACAAAACCTAACTAAACCAAACATAATAAACTCCAATTCCCCCCCATGGTCCCGAATTATGGCATGAACCAATTTGTATTGTTCCTTTAAAACTCGCTCCGCCCCTTTTCCACCTCTTGGCTCCTCAATCAAGGGACTGGA